GCATAAGCGGGTGCAACATTACCCCTTAACCCTAAACCCTAAACCTACTTCTTTAGGGAGCGTAGGCCGCAATGGTGTTGGGTACGCCTACCTGGCTCTGGGTCGGGGCATGCAGCTGGTCGAGTCTGCACTTGCATGGACGGGTGTCGAAGCTGACATAGACGTTATACAGGGATAGTTATATGGAAAAGAAAACGGAAACTACTATTTAGGGTTTATAGGGGTTAGGGTTGGGGTTCCATAGGGATAATGGAAAATGGAAACGACTCTAGTACATTGGGACTCTAGCAGGACAACCGACAATAAAATGGAAACTACTGTAACGCTGTAGTATATCGGGGTTCCATGGGGATTAGGAAAAAAGAATGGAAAGTACTATATAGTATAGCGTCTCCAGGACCGCTGAAGGTGTTGTGGTGTAGGATGAAGGACAACGCACGGAGCTCCGTGAACACATCAGCTATGCAGGATCCCTCATCAACATCTCCTCACCGTATGTTGCCAGCGTGGCATCCAGGCTTTCGGCACGATCCGAAGAGTGTACTCTACTCCTTCCAGGCTGTACATGCGCAGGAGATAGCGTAGCTGTGCCACATGTGCACCTATGCCCTGTAACTAAATTCCTACAAACCTTTCACGGGGTCGGAAGCCACACAGCTCGGCAATTCTCCGGCTCTCAGCGGAGGCGTTGAGGAGCGGGTGCAGGATGTAGCGGCTACCTCGACGAGAGGCGAGTGTGACTTAGGCTGTAGGACCTTGCGTGCCCGACGCCTTTTTCTGCTCCAGCCGAAGCCTCTGCTTAAGTGCGCTGATGTCAGGGGCTGTGTCTCTGTTGCGAAAGAGCTCTCGTGCTGTCAGCATTTCCTCGCAGGCTAGGTAATAGGCGCGCCGGGATTAAGGCTAAGGTCCACATGCAGGATTGGGCTTACAGTACGGTAATCCGAATAAAAGAATAACATAGTATAGCTTGTATAGTTTTAACATAATAAAGTAATTGGCAAATAATATAGGAATAATATAGTATTGAAATATTCTAATAGTCTAATACATGTAGGTAAGCCTGACGTTGTTGGGTTTCATATCATATGAAGTTAACACAGAACATCCCAAACCCGACACCTTGAACCCTAAACCCTATCGTAACGGAACACAAAAAAGTAACATGGACCAAGAAAGATGCCCAACCTTGAACTTGCGAAATACGGTGGCTGGAGGAAATCTTGTACTACTTAGAACCCCCCTGAAATACAGTAATAATTGGGGCATACTAGCGTTTGGGATGTAGGCTTGCAGTACGTACGGTATAGCATGGTACAAGATTTCCTCCATCCGCAGCAAGATTCTTTCTACAAGCTTTCTACAGCTGAAACATGCACCGGAAAACAATCCTTGCATCCTACAACTCAACCCGGATGCCTTCTGTGAGTTCCCCCGACTCCCCAATGCAGTGCCTTCTTTTTTTCGAGGGCAGTAAGAAGAACCATCCAAAAAACAGGCCCCCACCCCGCACACCCTAAACCCTAAACCCTAAACCCACCACCCCACCCCTGGAGCCCCTATGATTTTCAAAGGGTTTGGGGAACCCTGACCATGCCTCCATCCTCTCCCGGCGCTGATCCTCAGCGACTCGACCTGAACTGAACTCACATTCCCAGACTTTCGACAATTAAGGCGGCTTAGGGTTTAGGGACACCCTAAAAAGGGGCCTCATATATGGGGGCCCTGTAGTTGGAGACCATAGATGGGACCTTAGGGAGCCTTAGGGATGTCTTACAGTAGGGCGTCCTCCTTTGTGGGTTCCGCCTTGATACGGCCTCCTTAAGAATTCTTCTGAAGCAGCAGGCCATCAGGGTGGCATGGAAAACGGGGTTGGAATTAAGGGGCCTAAATTCAGTTACCATAATGGGTATGTATATATATATATATGGTGCTTAATGTGGTTTCCCCAGTAAAGTAACTTAAACTAAATTCCTTAACAGCAACCAAGAAAAGAACATAGCAACTACTTTATCATGTTGGCCTTAGGTTTAGGGCTCAGGATCCAGGGCCTAACTAGGTTTTGAATTTGGAGCTTCTGTAATCCAGGGCCCATAGGGGCCCTGGAGACAAATGGCCATGAAAATGGATCAAAGGGCGGATACTCCATGGAACAATAAATGCTTGCACTTCCCACCCCGTATCCCCCTCACGCGCCATTGAAGTCAGCGTATGGATCTTCGCTTAGTTACTGTCACAGGGCTGGCTGAGCAAGGAGCCAGCTTTCCAACCTCAAACTCGGATATTCAGGGCTTCATGCACCACATGGTTGAGGGTCTAGGTTGTACTCGCTTCAAGGTTTTGGCCCGGGTCCAGGGTTTAGGGTGTAGGATAAACTTCAAATGCAGATGCTGGACGAAGGCTGATGGTGCGAAGCAGGTGATATCATTCTTTCCTGGGCCTGAAATCATGCCACATGCTGCCTAAGAGAGGAAAGAGGACAGCAAGCCTTAATGGCACCTGATGACCCCTTGTTCAGACTAGGCCTCACCAATCCCAATGACAGCAGGATCACTGCAACAAAGGAAAATGCATGCCCTGCCCCCGAACCACATAGAAGTCCAAGGGGGCCCTACCAACACTGCTGACATCTAAGGTTAATGGACAATGAAATGGAAGCTACTATAGTATATTGGGGAGAGAGAGAGAGAGATATATATATATATACATGTAAACCAGTTTTCTATAGTAGCTTCCATTTTATTTTCCATTATCCCCATATGACCCCTAACCCTAAACCCCTAATTATGAGGGTTTAGGGTTTGTTAGTTTGTGGAAGGGCATGTCGAACTGAGCTACACTGGAGCCGCCCCGCCACTTCATAGGATGTAAGAGAGTATTAGCGATCATATGAGATGTAGTCTACACTCCTAGTATCCCCCATGATAGCCCCTATAAGACGACCCCATACAATCCCAAGGAGGTGAGACTGCTGCTCATATAAATGCTGCTAACACGCGGATGTAGGCTAGATTCCGCGCCTGAAGGGGCAACCATAGTGGTTGGTGCCACTATCAATTCTGAACGCATGGTAAGCTGTCCTGTGACACTTACACAACTGCAACGAAGAAGTCCGAGTGCTTCTCCTTGCAATCCGCCCACCAAAATCGACCATCTTGCTCTGGGATGCTTTCTGCTTGCAGCATGGGCAATTTCCTGGGTTGCTGTTAAGGAACTTAAATTAAGTTACCACAATGGGTATATATAGAATGGAAAAGAAAATGGAAACTACTATAATGGGGTTATACGAGCTATAGTCTAAACTCCTAGCATCCCCCATAACATCCCCTATAGTAGTCCCCTATATATTCCCCTATATAACCCCCTTTAAGGAGTTTAGACTATAGCCCATATAGTGGTAGGTCTTGCTGCGGCAACTTTGCACCCCTTCCCCATGACCGCCTTGGCTGCCATCGCGACAGGTGCGGGTCTCGGCCAGCACTTCAGGGTTTAGGGTTTAGGGCTTAGGGTTTAGGGTTTAGTTCTTGTACAAGCTACGAATTTGCAATACTTGTGATACCCTAGAAGCCCAGGTAACCATATAGTAGGTCCTTGGGTTACAGGTAGTATAGAATTATATAGGGACTTAAGGACAGGAACCCAATATACAGGTAACTGGGCTTCTAGGGATAGGTAGCAAGCATTATTGGACTTTTGATGACAGCATCGCGAAGCACTGAAACCTAGCCTTCAAACCCCGGATCCTAAAAGTTCCTGTGGGTTAAAGGTAGCCCATTACTTTGGGTACTTAGGCCCTAGGCTGCCTGTGGCCTAGGTACCCAAAATAACGGGCTTTCCAGCACTTTGAACCCAAAATATTCAAAGACCTGAGATGCGGGCTGTCAGCTGCGATCACTAAGGCGTTGTGCGCCGATGTCAAATCCTGCAGGACAATGATTCTGAAGCAGACGAGAAGCGGGGCACCATGTTAAGTAACAATGCATACTATAGTGATAACAGTTGTCCGAGACAGACCATGGCCCGGCCCATTTTGTCTTTGCTTGGCGTCATCTGACATGCAGGCATTACAGTTCTAAGAACAAAAAGCGGCGATGGATAGAGAGCTGATGATGACCGCTATTCACTTCAACCCCCACCCACCCCAGACAGTGAATGTCCTGGAGACAACAAAGCTCTACAACCGGGAACGCTCATTGCTAGGGGGTGCTTGCGTTTCACCACTTGGGTTGAAGTCGCGTGAATTCTATGCACAATTATCACACCTTTGGAACAATGAGCACGAAATCCTTCGTTATGGCCTTCCATGCCCTTACCCTAAGATTCCAAGTGCCCAACCAACCTACGTCGCCGAAGCCTGTACTGTACTACAATTAGAAGCACCAAAGCCCTACGAGGGTCCTTAACCCTCTTACTATATATACCCCGTAGATTCCTACATATCCCTGCGCATCTCTTTGAAGGAGCCCAAATATTCTGCACTTAGACCTTCAACCAAACCCTAAAAACCCAAAGAGTTGTCCAGAGAACAGCTAGCACAGCTGCCTTGAGCTTCTCTGCGAATCCAGCCATTCTGTCCTGCCAAAAGCCAAAGGGTTTAGGGTTTATAGGGCAGGGTCCCAAGTACCTCTTTAGTACAAGTTACTAAACCAATTATACCTCTGCGGTTTCGGATTGAAGGTATACGGTCCGAAGCAACTACAAAATACAAATTATGGTTACTCTCGTCAGTTGGGCAAGCATTCCCTATATGTTCTTAGGACCCTTTGGAAAAATCACATGGGGATTGATCATCAATAGGGCTTGGATCTAGGGTCCCTTGCTAAAATCATTTGGGATCCCTATAGTATGCCCCATAGGTGTATAAGGAATAATATGAGGGAAATATTTCAGAATGGCGGTTGTGGGAACAAGGATTTGGATTAACTACCCAATAGAGATTCTTTAGTTTAAAGTTTAGAGTGGAGGATCTAGAGGTTCAGAGTTTGGAGATTAGGGTTTAGGGTTTGGCAAGTGACACTTGGCTTGGGTACCGCAGAGATGTAGTGGGGATTGTCAGGGGGTTCCAATACCGCTGTGAATAACCCTTACTGTATACCACTAAACCCTGAACCTTATACCCTAACCTGACGCAAAATGCAACATGTGTTTACGGCCCTCCGGGCCCGAGAAACCCGCGTGCATCGCAAGTGTATACAAAGACCTCGACTCTAGCAGACTCTAACTTTGGGTTCAGGGTTTAGGGGGAACCTTCAACCTAGACCCTAAACTCTAAGCCCTAAACCCTGAACCCTAAACCCTAAACCCTTGATAAAGCCTGAACCCTTGATAAAGCCTGAACCCTGAACCCTAAACCCCCTAAACCCTAAACCCCCTAAACCCTAAACCTATAAACCCCCAACCTTATGCCATCCTCCCCAAGAAGCTCACATCCACTCCTCCAGGGAGGCCAGCTGGCCAGCAGCGATATCCCACCAACCTCACCCACTGGACCCCATTACTTTATATAAAGGATTTAAGGGGGGGTTATATAGGGATTATTTAGAGTTTAGGGTTTAGGGGTTCATTCTTTACATAAAGGATTCCCTGAGGGTCCAAGGACCCAAGTGATAGGGTTTCAGGGCCCAAATACTATACTATGAATGGGATTTGGGCCCTAAAGCTCTGTTATTTGGGTCCTTGGACCCTTAGGGATTAATGAAAGGGGGGTTATATGGGGGATTATTTGGGTTTAGGGTATAAAGGTTCGGGCTATATTAGGGTTTAGAGCTTAGGGTTTCGGGCCATAAAGGGTTTAGGGCGTGGGATTTGGGGTATAGGGCTCAGGGTCTAGGGTTAAAGAATTTGGGCTCAGGGTGTAGGAACTCAGGTTAAGTTGCTTCAGCTATTTCTCAAGGTTGATGTTAGGTACTGAAATGCGAAGAGATCTGAAATTTGCGGCTGAGGATCGGAAAGGGCTTCCTATCTACTGTGGTTTAAGGGGGAGTTGGGCCGGGAATATCGGTAACTCTGTGAGGGATTGGGCTTAGGGTTTAAGGTTTGGGGAAGTATCCCTAAACACTAAACCCTTGGGATCCTTAGAAGGATCAACTTTGCCACTGCCCCGGACTGCCCATACCAATGCGGAAGATTGGGGATTCCTTGCTTATGGGTCCCGCAACATGTCTTGAACTCTAGCACAAGATCTTATGAGGATATGGAAGCCGGAGTTAAACTGATGTAGAAATTTCGGATCATTCGGGGACCCTGTTTGGAGAACCCCTGAGCCCTCAACAGGTGATGACATCCGGTCAGGTACCCGGGGTGTTTGACGTTTGTTGCAGGGACCGTGTGTTTTTTTTTCTTTATGTATTTGCGCTCTGAAGAGGATACGAGACCCTAAACCCCAAACCCTAGATACTGGAGGGGTCCAGTATGGGAGCAAACCCTCAACCCTAAACCTAAATCCTAAAACCCTAAACCCTAATCCCTAAACCCTAATACCCTAGAACTCCAAACCTTAAACCTAATCCATTAACCTTGATGCCCTAAACCCTAAACCCTGTTGAGCGTGCCAGCCCTTTGGGTTGAGGGTCTCATGCGTCTGGGCATCATGAACCTCAAAAAGCAGCCATAGGCATGAAACAGCTGAAGCATGGTGTACAACGAGGGAGCCCCCAGCTACAAGTGGGGTTACGGTTTAGGGTTTAGGGTTTAGGGTTTAGGGTTTTTCAGGGTTCAGGGTTTGGGGCTATTAATTGCAGGCAGTTATCAGACTTATGTGTGTATATGTATATGTATGTGGCTAGGAACAGAAACATTGACCTATCCTGGATATCCTGAGCATTTGCAGAACACTAAGGACCCCATGTAGATGGTGGTCTCTTTTCCTGGGACCTACATGCTTTCAATTCAGTCCGCATACACGGTCATGACAGGCCCTATATGCCGGAATACAACAGAACCCGTTATACCGCGACAATTGTAAAGCCTAAATGAGGAGGGAGGCTTAAGAAGGCTATCCCCGTGCAAGCCTGATGATGAGCAAAGTATACTACACCCCGGAAACCCGAACCTCTGATTTAGGGTTTTGGGTTTAGGGTTTAGGGTTTACTCCTATATCCTAAACCGCCTAAACCCTGCAAACCCAATCCTGATTTATCTAGACCTCTACATTACCAACCCATAAATCAACAAGGGCCCACAAATTCAAATTTCACACGCTTCCAAGGCTTCCCTACCCTAAAACCCCAAAGGCTCCATGTAGCTATGTATTTGTATTATATACTTAGAGCCCGAAGGGGTTCCCACATCGCTAGTACCTAACGTATAGCACATGGAGCCTTTGGGAAACGTGTGTTGGGTTCGAGACTGGTGTTGGAACCCAAGAACCCGAAATCCAAGGCTGTAGGGGCAGCACTGGCGCCAGTGTTCATTTCTGCCACTGGGTTTCCTGCCTGGGCAGCGGTAGAAGCCACAACATACGGCCCCATTAGGATATTACCCCAATAGTTGAGAACCAAATGAAAAAAGACATGGGAATGAAATGCAAGCTACAATGTAGTGTCTTGAAGGTTTCTGAAATCAAAAATGCCACTTTGGAGGAGAGGTATTGTGAGCTAAGGGAATGTTTGAGCTCTCACAGGCGTTTAGGCTTTCGGGTTAGGTTCCTCCAACTTGTATGACAAGACTACCGGATCACTATTATCCTTTGCCTAGCTAAGATGACATTGCTCCAAAGCCATCCAAAATCCCTGATGAAGTCACAAGGCTATAGCTTCGGATCTAGGGAGAATACGTCCTTATAGCTTATGCACAGGTTCAGTATGCACAGGTTCAGTATGTGCCTTGGGCTAAGCATTTGGAAAGATCTACGCCGCGACTTATTGTCTTGTGTCAAGCTTGTTTCATACTGCACCCTGACGGCATGGATTCTTGCTGCAACCTAGCAGTATGGCAGGTGCTGATAAAGCTGCAATTTGGGGGAAGGCTCAATGCCGGCGAACACCGCACACTAATCACAAGAGAAATTCTCCCAAAAACGTAGAACCATAGCACCCCCACTGCTGCTGTTCCCTGCAAGCCCCTCCCAAAAAGATCTACGCACTCGCTGTAGAATCCGCTCATGACTTAATTCTGTCGTCATCCTATGGTAGGGGCCAAGATGACCCCCCTATACCCTGCATATACGTATATAAGGAATCTAGGACCACAACATGATTCATTATTGAAGCTTCTATGTGAGCTGTAGTCTAAGCTCCTCGTATCCCCTATAGTGGTCCCCAAGATACTTCCCTAAATATTCAGCCTTTCAGGAGTTTAGACCACAGCTCATGTTATGAATATTCAGCCTTTCAGGAGTTTAGACCACAGCTCATGTTATGCAACTTTTGCATGCCTCAGCTCAGGCGAGGACTCCCTGTCGCTCTTGATAGAGAGCATGCAGCAGCTGCTCCAACCTTCGCGAATCCCAGCAGGTTTAGGGTTTAGGATTTAGGGTTTAGGGTTTAGGGTTTAGGGTTTAGGATTTAGGGGCCCCGGGCTCTTTAGGGGATTCTAGGGGTCTTTAAGGAGTTGTTGTAAGGTATTTGTTAGGTGGACCCCCGACGATAAAGGATAATCAGGATTATATTAGGGTCCTATTATATTCCTATGATACCCCTAGTACAGGGTGGGGGGTCCTCCTAAGGTATTTGGGGATTGGTCTGAAATCAATCTATTGCGGGTCTGATTATTCCTACAAAATCTCACCCATTTCGGGAACAGCAATCTAGGCCAGGTACCTAAAGCAGAAATTCTAAACAATGGTTTAGAGCTTCGTGGTCCAAGTCTATCACGTTTTGCCAACTCTAGATCAGATCCCTAGAGACCTATTGTCGATACCAAACTTCCTGCATGACCTTACTATACTACAGTACGCACCAAAATTCACAAGGTAGAAGTCGGTATAAGGTACGTAGGGTCATGCAGAATTCTTTCTTTCACTGTAGAGCCTAAAAACTTCTTCATCGCGTACATCGTGACTGATCTCTCTGTTTTCAAGAAAACCCCGTGAGAAGTAGGAATCAGCTAGGAATCGCGTCAAAACTATTTCAATGGTGGAGCGCTTAGGGTTTAGGGTCAGCAGAGGATCCTAAGGCAAGTATGGTCGTGCCATAGCCCAAATATGGACCCTTGACCAACTGAAAGGTGTCTACAAGGAAGATAGAACGGAATCTCTCTGAAACATGTAAGAGTAGTTTTGGCAAACTGGCAAGGAAATAACTGTTTGAAACATTCAGACTCCCATGCTACTCCAAGATTGCATACTGGTTCTTAGCAGGGAAGAACGGAATAGAATCCCTGCATAATAATCCCTATATACTAACCCTAAACCCTAAGCCCTAAACTAAGAACCAGTAAGGTAGGGGACTGGATGTTTTCGGCAAGGAGTTGGGCCGTTGGGCCTGCCATTTTCAATTCGTCAGCAAAAGACGTCTGAAAGAACGATGAAAGGATGCAGCAGTCAACCCTCCACCTGGCCTGAGTTGGTTTAGGTTTATAGGCTTCAGGGGTAAGGGTTTAGGGTTTATAGGGATAATGGAAAAGAGAATGGAAACTACTCTAGTAGGCTATATTTTAGGGTTATAAAGGGATAATGGAAAACGGCAACTATACACAGAAATACATGAGGGTAGGTTCCAAAAGTAAACTCTAAACCCTAAACCAACTGGACCCCAACCCCAAGGCTCCATGTAGCGATGTATAGTCTATACTTAGGGCTCCCATATCACTACTTTAGGGCCCAAGTACATATCATATAGCTACATGGAGCCTTTCGGCGGCAAAGTTTGGGACGGAAAATACGTCGACTCCTAGATAGTGCAGCACTTAAATCTTGGGTTTAGGGTTTAGGGTTTGAGGATGTGCCTTACTGTTGGCAAGACCATATACAGGAGATCGTCGTCAACATACAGACTCTATACTTACTGGGGAGGGATAACGGAATATTTCAAATAGGGATTATTTAGAAAATAAGGGGATGTTTTATAACAGGGATTATGTAGCGTTTAGGGTTAGCAGAGAATACGGGAATACTTTTAAATTGGGGTAAGATAGGGTTTATGGCTCAAAGGTTAGTAGCGATTATGGGAACATATTATATAAGGCTTATACAGAGAGCATATTGCCTTATTCGCGACTAGCCCCCCGAAAGCATAGCAGTCAGGAGTTGGCGGCATGAGCCGTTGCAAACAAGCCTCTCTAACAATGCTTTCTTTCTTTTAATACATGGTGGTTCTCAGAACAAAAAATCAGGATCCTGACCTGTAAACCGTGGTTGTCAGGATCAACTATCTCATTCGCAAAACAACCACTAAGCACCCTCACCTACAAAACGTGGCAGTCCCACTGAGCTCTGGCTATCTTACCTAGTCCCCCCGACCTCTGATTTATGTTACCTAGTCCCCCGGACGCGCCAAGTAGCCTATAAATCCTGCTTATGTCAGGCATACATACTGCAGCGCGAAGCAACATGTGGGTTTCTCGCAAAACGGCAGCCAGCAAGAACCACTGAGGCATATGAGCTTTTGTCTAAACTCCTAGTATCCCCCTTTATAAGCCCCAACATAATCCCGTGTAAAATCCCCTATAGAACCCCCTTTAGGGGGTGTGGACTATGGCTCATATGGGGCAATGCAAACAGATCACTGTCGGGGACCCCTCCTGTTGATAGTAACAATCCTGGGTGACGATAGCACAATGAGCACCATAACTCCCAAGAAACGGGTACTTGGGATGTGGCAGGATTTCTACATCTCCACCTTAAACCCTAAACCCATATATATATATATATATACAGATATATTCAAAACCTACCCATATACATATATCTATATATGTATATGCACGTTTCTGTACGCCCCTGTAACCGGTATGTATCCCCAAGCAGTAAGGGCTCTCAAGAAGTGATCTTACAAGACTCCCCTAAAGCCTCATAAAGCCTGCAACTGTATATGGTAGTCGCGAGGCATAAGGGATCTCCCGTACATGCCACCAGACAATATTCCACATTGTAGGAAATCCTGAAAATGGACCGCCAATTTTCGGAACCGCCCATACCATCCGTACACGACTCCAGATAAAGCATCTGTTTTGGTCCATGCAGCAAGCGGTCGCGGCTGGCACAGAAAACTTAGGCATCTTCCAAAGTGAAGGGGAATCGTGTTCGCGGAGGGTCCACAAAGTACCCAATATTAGAGTTTCGGGTTTAGGGTGGTGATTGGGCTTTGGTACTAGGAATTGTTCTAGACGTCTACGGAAAGTAACTTGGACCCATGGGGGTTGATATATGTTCTAGTCGTACCATTTTTCGAGGCTGCAAAAACAAGACGATTTGGCGGCCCCATTTCCCTATCATGTCTCTGTACGAATCATACGAGAGTCATGGTGTCCTGATTTTGAGCTTTGTATTTTTTATCCAAGGGCTCCAATGTAGTTCCTTTTTGGGTTTGTTATGGTTTTTGGGTAAGGGACTATAATATACTACCCCAAAAGGAACTACATAGGAGGGTCTGGGTAGTCAC